ATTATAATTGATGGTTATGAGCAAAAAAGACAGTACAAGCTCGGAATTACACATCGGGGACGTCCACAGGTTTTGAGCTGAAAATGTTTTTGACGAAATCTTGACTATGTTTTTTATTCGAGAAAAGCGTTTTACAGCGATCGAAAAAGGGAATAATCAGTTGGTACAAGGTTAGATGAATATGTCGAGTGGGGCAGAACAAACCAACCAAGTTTCAGATTGCTGTGTTATTCTTTCTGTATACGGCTTTTGTGTTGTCATGAAGAAGAAGATTTTTCTACTGACGAGCGGAGGGCGATTTTTCGCAAAACTTTCATGGTTACGTTGCAGTTGCTGGACGAATAAAAACGCGTTTCTCTGCGTTTTGTAAACAATGAATGGCACTGTTCGCTCCAACCACACGCATAATGTTACCTTTCTTCTGTATAGTTCAGCTTCTGTTGTGGAGATCTTTTTCAATCCACTTCAACTTTTGTTAAAACATTGTCGCATGCAATGCTTTATTATCACCTATTAAGATTTATATTTAAAGAACGGTTAGTTACGATTATACAGGGTGCGGCATAAATATCTCCCACATACACCACTGGCCAAAATCTTAACGCCAATGAAAATAAAGTAAAATATATCTTTAGCGTTGTTAGACTCAACCACTTATTTAGGTGTGTGAACCGGACGATAGGCAAACCTATTAAATCTTCATAAGTTGTGCCTCTTATCTCTTACTCAGTAACTCGAGGGGCTCTTACGCCTTATACAGGGTGAATCCTTGTTGTAAAAAAACAAATCGTATATGATATTTTTAATGATATTTTAGGAAAATATCTTCTGTTGATAAACTTGATATCACATTATGGAGGGCCATTTCACATTAGCCGAATCCTCAGATGCTAATGTTAGGACTCTGAAAGGAAAGATATTGTCATTTCACGTCATAATTTGTGTCCCAAACTCATATTTTTCAAATTTAATCCTTTTTCTTTTTTCTTATTTCTTTTTTTTTTTTACGAATCTGAAGATAATATTAACATTGTATTTGTTTGCTTAGTTTTTTTTACTGCATACGAAGAAACATATAAATAAAAGTCTACGAATTTTTTTCTTCTTCGTAAAGTTATTCCAGCCTTTCTCCCAACCTCCGAATAAAAAAATACCGCTTCATTTCACTTCCATTGACCCTTAAAATGAAGCCAGCGGTTAATAGTCATTTTGCCAACAGGAAACTCAATAGAAACGAAACGACATTAAATGTTCTGTGGTAAATATAAATAGGCGGGAATGAAGCCGGACGCCATTTTTTCCCGTCTAAAGTGCAGACGTCCGCGTTTTGCATGATTTGTGTTAATAGTGGCTCATCTGATAAAAACGCTGATTCTTATTTCGTTTATGTGATCAGTGCCGGACTAATCTAGTAGCAAATGCAAATGCTACAGACCCCGCATTTTCTAAGATTCCGATTTAAATACTTTCACGCTGTCTGGTGAAATCGGCATTTTAAAATCTGGCAATGTTAATGTTCACATGGGGGTGTGGTCTGCATCTTTAATTATTCATCATTTCAGGTAACATTATATATATATATATATATATATACACACACACACACACACACACACACACACACACACACACACACACACACACACATATATATATATATATATATATATATATATATATATATATATATATATATATATATATAATAACATTATATATAGGCCATTATATCTACTCAAATATCTCGTTAGAATCATTTGCCTTTTTCTGGGTTTGTTTATTACGTGTTTAGAAATTAAATTTGTACCAGTTTCCCCAGCAAGTAAATAATTTATGATTTAATATTTATGTGCATTTTTTTTTTTTAGATTTAGGGTCCGCTTTATAACATATGCTACAGGCCCCGCACTGGCTTAATATGGCCCCGTGTGTGATTCATCATTATCGGTTCGGTTTTGACAGTTGAAGCAAATATTTCAATTCTGTCTATAGCGTTAAATGCGACACCGTTGTGGTTAGTTCATTTAGGCATCTGGGAAGTGTTTTAACAGACGACGGAAAATGTAATACAGAAAACGGGAGGCATATTGGAATAGCAAAAGATGCCTTCCAAAAGCGAAGTAAAGTATTAAGAAACAAGAAAACTTTGGTAGAAACAAAGAAAAAAAAATGAGTGCTGAACTGCTGTCGGATAACGTAGAATTCTTTCTTTCTTTCTTTCCAGTCATTTTCTTTCTTTCTTTCTTTCTTTCTTTCTTTCTTTCTTTTTTCTTTCTTTCTTTCTTTCTAGTCCTTTTCTATTCTTTCTTTCTTTCTTTCTTTCTTTCTTTCTAGTCATTTTCTATTCTTTCTTTCTAGTCATTTTCTATTATTTCTTTCTTTCTTTCTTTCTTTCTTTCTTTCTTTCTTTTTTTTCTTTCTTTCTATTCCCTTGATTTTTTCCATCTTTTTTCTCTTTCTAACTTTTCCTTTTCTCTTTTTTTCATACCCTCTTTTTTTTTTTCTTTCTTGTTTCCTTTGTTTCAGTTTTCCTTTCTTTCTTTCTTTTTCTTTCTTTCTTTCTTTCTTTCTTTCTTTCTTTCTTTCTTTCTATTCCCTTGATTTTTCTTCCTTCTTTTTCTCTCTTTCTAACTTTTTCCTTTCATTTTCTATTATTTCTTTCTTTCTTTCTTTCTTTCTTTCTTTCTTTCTTTCTATTCCCTTGATTTTTTTCCATCTTTTTTTCTCTTTCTAACTTTTTCCTGAACTGCTGTCGGAAAACGTAGAATTCTTTTTTTTAAATAATTCTCATAGAATTATTAAACAAACATTTCATAAATGTATTAACCAGATATGTTCAGTCACTTATGTGCCATGCGTGATAAACACTTAGGCGATCATGTATCTTTCGATACATGACTGACGAGGCAGATTTTTTCCCACAGTAGGTCGCCATTTCTTTCTGCGGTAGACCAGTTGCCATCTAAGGCTATAGGACCCGGTCTCTCCTGCTATTTACCCATAGCTGGGGAGGGAGAGAGAGAGAAGAAGAGTATCCATACCTTTCCCAAGGGTATTAGCAATGAATTCGACTGGAATTCGAACTCGGCTCTCCGATTCCTCAATCCGAGCCGCTACCCATTACTCCCACCGTGCCACATATGCTAGAGGGATAAAGAAAGAAAACAAAGGTGTAGTTACGAACAGTTCAATATAATCTTCAGTCTGTGTCTCTGAAGTTCTTACATGCCTCGTGCCTATCGGAGCGAGAGTAAAATGCCGACTACAAATGCCAAAACGAAAATAGAAAGAGCCTTTCAAATATCACGCCGCCTGTGATTATCCTTGGTGTGGGGTGGGGGCTGGTCATCCAACAGGTTCTACCGAAGAATGTTGAGAATGCCATAAACGGAACATGTGAGCAACCAGGGAATTTTAAGGAAAATGGAAACAAAAAAGGATGCACGAACTTAAAATCAGAAAGAGACAATTAAAATGTTGGGGCACATAATGAGGAAAGAGGGCTTGGAGAATGTGACACCCGCAGGAAATATTGGAGGTAAGAGGGACTGAAAGAATTAGAGAGTGATCTACCTAATGAGCATATGCAAATGGAAGTCTGCATAGGACCTGAGAGTGAGGGCCATTGCTTAGAGCTACAAAGGATAGGAAGTTGTGGAGAACCAGGATGTAAGGGGTGATGTGGTTACAGAAATTGTCTGACAGCCAGTTCTCCTCCTTCTGTGGCATGGTGCAGAGTCCTGTTGCCAGATATAGAGTCTTCCAGCAGCTACCCTCTTGACTCAGGGCAGCGTAGTGTGTCTGAGGACCTGTCGTAAGAGGCATAACGTCACAATCACTAGTGATCAAACACCTTCGTAATCACCATTAGACACATTATGAATCTTTCCGAATCCTCTGCACAGTCCCCAGATTGATCCTCAAAAACTCTAAAATATTTGTATTGGAACTTCCGGTGCGAATACCAAGCAGTACAACATGCCGTTTCCAAATTTTTGGCGGAGTGTATCACTTCATGATGCTCTTTTTCTCACAGACGGTGCCCAACTTACTCTACTGTGCAGTCGACAAAAAAACAAAACAACAAAAAAAACAACGCGCATGCCCAAAATTATATATATGTGTGTGTGTGTGTGTGTGTGTGTGTGTGTGTGTGTGTGTGTATTTGTAAGATAAAGGTAAATTCTCAACGTATATTAAAAATGTAATTTTTTTATATTTAACGTTTGCGAAAACTGCTTTTACTGTTTATTAATGAGATATTTCTTATAGGAACACGAGGCAATTCCTCCGTACAACTCGAAGCGAACATGCCTTGCGTTATCATAGCAATCGAATTGGTAAGTGATGAAATTGTTTAGTGTTATTTTTAAAATACTTTTTTTTTTTTTAAATACTTTTAATGATTCAGAGTTCTTTTTTATGATCGTTACTGAAATAACAGGATGCGACACTAATTATATAGACTGGTCCATTCGTAACAAAATACGGAAAATTGTTTCGGGGAAAAGTTTTTCGTAGATTATTATTCTTTAGATCGCCCCCCGCCCAAGGTAGAACATTTGTCAGAATCGAAAAATATTGATTTTTATCGATGTAATAATATCGATGTTCATAATATCGATACAGTGTTAAATCGATCTCTGATTTTACAGAGTTATCAGGATTACTTGTTATTTACGAATGTCAAGTTTGAGATTCTGCTTGAATCAATGATATCTGTATATATTTTTAATTTTCTGAATTTGAATGTATGATTTTCAAGGTTTTTTTTTTCAACTTTTCTTTTTGGTAGGGATTTTTCGTAAGCTCATGCGTAAACACTGATGGATAATAATTATTTATCTTGAGTAAAAAATGAACGGTCATATAATTTTATTAATTTATGTAAATTTGTGTTATAAAATGGCAGTTTTCTTAATCAGAGCAGGGAGATGAGGGAACTTTGTAAAATGGCAGGATCGTTTTTACACTTTGTCCATATTGGCCTTGAGGAAGGT